GGAATGAAAGTTATTTACCTTTTTTTATTACATATTATTAATTATAAAGTTGAAAAAGTGGTATTTATAGATCAGATACAGTAGGTATGTAGGTATAATATGTTATACTTATACGTTATACGTAAGATGTACAACTAGCAACTAGGTTTTCCCAATATGATGATTTTTTCGTTTGGAATTAATTTCAATGGTACCTATCTTAGCAATTCTTAGGTATAATAAATAATATGCCTGTCGCCTATTAAGTAGCTATAATGTAAGCCTGGCATACCTATGAGGTTATGCCTGTAAATGAAAGTAGGTAGGTACCTACGAATATTTTCTCTAACTAAACGCGAGTTATGTATGAGCTTAGCTAAGTATTAATAGTATAAAACGTTTAGGTAAAACGAATATTGATAATTTATCGTTATAATATTATGCGTATTCACATATCATTATCTTATTTAAAAAAAATATTAATTAAAATCAAAATTGAGAAATAATTATAATTTTTAATAGATATAAGGTATTTTAATAATTAATATTGGTACCTACCTAGTTGTTATGGTATGGTAGTTTAAATCATATGAAATTATATATACGAATATTATTTTAAAATACAATCAAATGAAAAGATAATGTTTTTTCAGTAAACACTTAAATGGAAAAACTCATAAATCTAAACGTACGTCATATATAATTGCAATATTTAATTGTGTACCTAAAGTACCCGGGTACAAATATACTATATAAATATATTATCTACTCCAAGTTGCAATCTCTTATCATAATAATCTTGTCAGAAATTWAATTCCATGTTATTAACAGTAAGTTGTCGCCTACTCGCACAATTTATTTCACAAATGAAATGTCATTCGTCCCAAATGTTTTTCGTCTATGTATCACAGAAATAGAAACCTACGGTCTACGCTTATACAATCGGACATGTCCGAGAATTGTATTTTTGGAACCCCTGCTTGCCCACACAGCTTATGCGATAGGAATTGATTCTAAGTATGATACTAGGTTCAGACGAGTTGATTTCAATTAGTGCTGTTTCACATTTCCATAAGCACCGTTGAGTTAAATTTTTTTTTCAATTTCCTCCCGTTGTTGGTTGTTGGCCATTTAAAGAAATTACATTTGCAAAATAAATCTGTTGACGGTCCCAAGGCATGTACGCCTTTCAGTAATCAATCACCTTCTAGTCTACTATATTCATACAGAGTAACATTATATAGTCAGGAATAATTCAAGAATCAGAATTTTTACTAAACTTCTGTTACCGATATGGCTAACGGTATAAAGAAACTCGATGAATATAACTTAATGGTGCTCAGAGAACAACTGACATTGCCCGCAAATAAATATTGCTTCGATTGTAACCAAAGAGGACCTACATATGTGAATGTTACTATAGGTTCATTTGTCTGTACATCATGTTCTGGACTATTGTAAGTACCTATCTATATCTATATACTAAAAAAAAGACCATTTGCTGAATTTAAATCACGGTAGCAAATTGTGTATGTTTAATATTAGGTTCTATCAATGCGCGATAGTGTATAATACTAATTTAAAAAAAAAAAATGTATAATGTTTGTATTTAATTTGATAGGTATAGGTATAACTTTAATTTTTATTCAAACTTTATTATTTATATTTGACTAGGCATCTAATTTGACATTTATATTTTTTTCTACATCAATAATACACATAGATTACGTGTGTAGGTAGGTATTATAAATGTCATATTTATTGTTAGGAAGTTAATATTTATTTTACTCAAAAATAATTTGAAATTTTGA